TGCAATCAACATAGAGGAATCTCCCCAGCTAGAATATATAAAAATGTTGGGGTTTATCATAAGTGCGACTGTTGGTGATCCCAATGCGTTGGCACGAGTGACCTGTGAGTGCGTTGAGTAGGAAGGAGGGTTGGAAAGAGATCTGGGTAAGTAGCGTACAGATGTTTCTAGACACTATGTTGGGCCGCTAAAGTCTCCATCCCGTCCCCCCCCCACCTCCCTAATCCCCTTATTTAGCTAGAGTCCGGCACACAGTTATAATGTGTTTAGCGTCTCGATTAACATCTTTTAGTCGTCGGGTGTCTTGTTTCCAAGTTTCACACTTAGATTCACGGGCTCGTGTAGTCACAACTGAGTCTTCGTCCACGTGTGCCGTGTGTAATTATTTTAGATGAAGAAGGTGAGGCGAGGAAGAACCAAGAGGTTTAGTTCCAGTCAAGTTAATGTCAGTTTATTCTAGTTGCTCTTATTTTGCGGTGAATGGAGAGGCGGGAGCAGGGGCTCGAAGAGAGAGAACAAGAGGGATAAAGAGCGTGAGGGGGAGAGGAGGAGATAGAGTAACTGAGAGATGGTGGATAAGAGAAGATGGTAAGAGGAAAGAGGAGAGAGAGTGGGGAAGAGTGAGGTGATTGAGGAGAGTACTGAATTGATGAGTGCGAGCATGGAGAGATAGCGACGGGAGAGGAAAAGAGAGGAAGAAGATAAGTTAAGAAGATTTGAAGAGTGGTGGTATGATGTAGAATGTAATGGATTGACAGAAAAGGCTTAATTAGTACCGGGACGACAAGCGGAAAAAATGGAGTGAACGAAGAGAAAATGATGAGAAAAAGAATAGTAGAGTGAGAAGCGAAGACTTGATTGTTAGAGGAAAGAAGGAGCGTCACGTACCGAATGGGGATATGTGGTGATGGTATGAGAGCAGAGTGAGATGAGTGGAGTGAGGAGAGACGTAGTGCGAGAAAGTAGCAGTAAAGATATGTGAGAGTGAGAGGAATAAGAGAGAGGACGATGTGGTATGATGTAGAGAGAAGACGGCGGAGAACTGAGGGATTGTAGACAACACCAATAGAATCTAAGACGAGAAGTGAGGAAAGAGACTATGAAAGAAAGGAAGAAAAATAATATTATCAAAGGAAATAAAGACAGAATAAATATATAAGATAGAAGAAAAAGAAGGTGTGTGTCTGATTGCGTGTTTAAAGCATACTGTACTTAATCAAACACGAGATTCTTTGGTTAATTTCTTGTGGCAAGCAGTAAAAGAGTTCCTAAGTCTCAAGACCACATAACACTAACACACAAGAAGAAGCGGCTGGAAACGATGGAGTGAGAGGTGCGTGAGCGCAATAAGTGAGAATACCAAGCAGAACGATGTGACAAGCGAGGTAAAAGAAAAACTAGTATGTGAACAATATACGTTGAACGATAGGATGGTTAAGAGGGAGAAAGAAGAAAATAGGAAAGCATGATAAGATAAAGGTAAAGCAAGTGAGCTGGAAATAGCTCTCAAGAATGATAAGAGATCTCAGAGACGCTTCTTACTGAAAATCATTAAAGGTCATTATTTAAGTGAGGCGATCGTGAGCGATTCCTTCGCGTGAGAATCCTGCCAGAAGTGCCTTCGCTATGATGCGTCTCATCGTCTAGCGTGGCTGGTGGAGGTTTCTCCCACTGCAGAAACATTAAACACATAACTAAACACTGGCTCAACAGTATGCAGATGCTCCTGATTGCATGAGCGATCTGATAGAGGTGATGTTAACATAAGTTGCGCTCGTCCTCTGCGACCTCAGGCAGGGAAGACATATATATAGTGACATCGCGTGACGGCATGACGTTGCGAGCACTTCTATTGTATCGCCCTCGTCAACCCTCGGGCGCTAGTTCTTCCAGAGCAACCGACACGTGCTTCTGCATACATATATAACTGCAGCACATACCGGCATAGTCTTGACCGTAATCCTCAACAGTCTTCGATTCCTTCTATATATCCAGCGAACTCATCCCAGCGGTGTTTCACTTGGACAGTGAAGTGATCAGGGAAGGAATGTTTTTCAGGGAATCTTAATAAAAGTCCTTTAGTGTGGAGTGATGACCGATATTAAGGAACGGGTCGATCGGAATTCTTGTACGCGCAGTTAATCAGATTTGCTAGAGGTCAACAGAATTGGTGTGACTGGGAGGGAGGGTAGTGTAGGCGAAGAGCTCGATGGAAGAGTGGAGAAATGCGGAATGCAATAAATCTCAAGCAAGAAAGACTAGGAAGGTAGGGGCGGGAAGATTGGGTGATGCTTGAGCAGTGATTACTGCAGAGCTAGGGTGAAGGGTCTGTGAGATAGGCGTTAGCCAAGCTGGATAGGTGCAAGAAAAGTGAGGCCATTGTAGGGTTTAGCAGAGTGGTTGAGGGGCCTTACTTCTAGGTCTGTTGCCTCCTGTTACCTATGTATTAATATATATACAATGTAAGTGCGTGGGATTGCCAACGACTCCACTCCCTCGATCAAGTCGACGTCTTAGTCCGATGTTCTTGCCATCAATCACCGATCACCCAGATCATCATCATATCTGACGGCGACAAATATCTAATACTTATCTCCAACCATATCTACACACCACACTGACCACACAGAGCCTACCAGCGCACCAGACACAGCATACTGAACCGACTCCAAGAGTTACAATGTCCCATCTTAACTACAACTAGACATTATCAGCAAGCTACCTTTCTGTGTCAGTAAACCCGATTCTATTATCGACTCATTTCTATTACTCTGCGTAATCCATTGACTCTCGCCGCGCCAATCCAGTGCGAAAATCCATATTCCCTATTCTGGATATATGAGTGCAACCCATCTTCGCTTATTACGCTTGAGAACTGACCCGAGAAGTCTTGCGTACAATCCTGTATAATTCTATCTCTTCGCCCTTCAAAAAGCTTGTTATCTCCAGCATGTCCGTCTATCACCCCTTCACTAGCGATATCTTAAATGGTCTGCTCGAGCTGATACATCCGCATATGCGTGCGCGCGCGCTCTTCATCATTCTCTCTCCCCCAACATCAACCCACTCCCCAGAACCCCACGATTTGATTTGGCTTTACGCTATATCAATAGATTGCAAAGAGGCGAGAAGAATGCGCTCATAGACGGTCCACCCCAGAGTGAGAAGGAAATGGTAATGAAGGAGCGAGAAATACTAATGGCGATGCAAATAGAAATGTACGACTAACGTGTTCAGAGGAGATGTGGTGCGACGAGATGGGAGAGACGAAGTCGTATTATGAAAGGAAGCGCGCGTGGTGAGGAGTGAAAATAGGGTTCATAGTGAAGTTAGAGAGTATAGGAAGGTTAAGTGGTCATGAGTAGACCCAGCGGCTGATAATGTGTGATTAGATGGTGAGTGGCGAAAGTAATGTGGAGTGGAAGTGAAAGGGAAAGAGGACATAAGGGGTGAGAGTAAGGTATATATGTGTGATTGAGAGAGTGACGGATAGGAGATAGAATGGATTGTTATCGCGTGTTCAGGAGGTACCTTTACAATAGGACTGAGAAGAGTGAGAAGGGGGAGAGTGTAGCGAGAATAGAATGCCCAATATGAGCGTATGTATCTGTAAGGGTTAATTAAAGATTATCAGTTCATTAAAATTGCAGTGATAATGGATATAATCCACTTAGTATTTTACACAGATGCATAAAAGCCGTGTAGCCCGTTGGGTATATGAGCAGCAGTCCATAGAAGCTGGTTTCACTTTTACATCACTCTTTTTCCTTTATAAAGTATTATTTATGACAAGAATGCAAAACATCCAATGGGTGGCTGAGCGGTAGTATAATCGAAGATGATGAGAATATAATACGAACGGAGGGAAAGAAAAAAGGCTACTGGAGTTGAGCAGAAGTATGAATAAGAACTTAGTTATGCGTACTTTCTGAACCCACCAATACCACACGGTTGGCTTCGCTGTTTATGGTCGTGTCAGAGATGGTCCCCTCTCTCAATCTCTCTCTCATCTCTCCTCTTCTACTCTTCTCATCCTCTCTCGTCAATCTCTCACTCTCATCTCTACTCTCTAATGCTCTCATCTCAATCTTCTTCTCTCTCTCATCTCATACTTCGCTCTCTCTGTCATAACTTCTCTACTCTACTCTACTCATAAATGTCATACAACACGGCCCACATTTACACAAATATTAAAAATCATTAGTATGAACCATTTCAAACGACAGACCTTAAAATGACAGAAAACACGTGTAACAGGATACGCCTGTGTGCAAAACTCTTTCGTCATACGCTACCGCCTAGTTTATAAAGGACACAATATAGACCTACCTGTCCCGAGATGAACACTCCCAGGTCGTGGCGGGTCTCGCAAGTCGTGGCAAGTCGTGCGGTCGCCTTCGAGGTGGTTCCCGGGGGAGAGTTCCCAGTTGGGGTAAGGGGAGGGGGGGAGGGGGGGGATTGGTTGAAGATTTTTTGTTGCTCGGTTTTTATTTATTACTATTATTATTTTATTTATTTATTTATTTATTTATTTAGCTTCTGCGAAAATGAAAAATTCAAGAATCGAAATACTATGTCAATAGATAAATGGATTTAAACAATATAACAATACAGACCGATAATTGTAATGTGATGAGAGAAAATGTTATTTCGAACGTTTTTGCTATTATTTATGAAAATCGTATTTTTTTATGATAATTTATTTATTATCATTATTATTGTTATTATTATTATCATCATTATTATTGTTATTTTGTATTATTATTTTTATTACTATTATCATCATCAGCCTCACCATCATGATTGTTATTAGCGTTATTATTATCATTATTAATAATGGTACTAATTGCTGATAAAAGATTCTTACAAAGTTATTAATTTGTGACAATCCTCGCCTTCTTTTAAAATATCACGCACTTCTGGTCCTTTTGTATTGCAAGTGACAACGTGACATTAATATGACATCTAACACAATATTACTTGTTTTTTAATAACATCAT